GTTCTGAAGTTTTCCTATATACAGTCCAAGGGGCAATCACCTATGAAACTTGAGAGCAAAATGGGCTGTATCAGAAATCAGTATTTAAGTAAGAGATCACATCCCATCATTAATGATCTCTGGGATTGCTTATTTCCCTTTCTGCAGGCTAATATGATCTGCCTATTTCTTGTGTTCTCTCATAATCAATTAGAATCTCCAGAGAATTATGGTCTGAACATATGGTCTGGTTGTTGATGGTTTAAGAACCAGCTGCTGCTTTTCAGTGTGAGGTATCTTGAAAGTGACATGATCCTACATGTTCAACAGCTGAGAACTGGTGTGTATTCTTAGGGGTCCCTCATTAAAGTTCTTCTAATGTCTCAGATATATGTCTAACACATTAATCTGCCTGAACATTTGAAAACAAAGCATGGATAGGTGACTGCAAGTCACAAGAAACTAAGCAGCAAAGTCAAGTTTTTTGGTATTATTCACAGAGGTCTTTTCATTTCCCATATGACATGTACACTCATGGACATGTTTATCTCTTTTGTGTTACACAGGTGTCTGTTTTCTTCTATTTTACAGTAGCCTGTCACTTTAGATGTGGCATAGCTTCTGTTTACACTCTGCAGCTGCAAGGGATCCTGACAGCTGAGTGGGAGGCTTTAGGAAAGCGGTATTTTCACTCCCACAGGGGAGCAGCTGTACTAAGACAAACTCCTCTTCACTGTCTGTTGGGAGCATCTGAAGCAAGATCAGGAGGCAGGAATTCTTCTTTATATTACCCATATATTCCCATAGAGGCTATTGGTAAATGTGCAGAGAGGGAGAGGATAATCCTCTTGGAATGCAACAAATAATATTTGTTGTGGAATCATTGCTGCATCTCAAGAGGATTAGCACATAGGACCCAATTATAATAGTGAAGCTTTACTCTATAAGGAGTTTAAATGCACTGAAATTCATTGGAGCAATATTGGACTGCTGCTGGACTACATTTTGTCAATGTAAGTCACGAGCTAGCATACTGTAAATCAGGGCTACTCAGCTTTGAAAACCCTGGGGGCCCCAATGATACTCACAGAAACATGCCAAGGGCCTCAACTTAAGTGTGGTTGCATATATATGCAAATGTATACAAATACTACTTTCACACTGATGAGCATGAATACAAAGATTAAGGCAAGACTATACAACACACAGGTCCCATTTAATTCCATTCTGCTGATATTAATAAAATGCAATATTTACCTGATTTCCACCCATATGACAGCACTTTTAACAAGCAATGACAGTCCAGGAATTTAACTGTTAAAATGCACATCAACAGAAGGCCATTATATTGACTACTTTTATGTTTTGGCTCCCACCCACAGGCCGTGTGTTGAGCCCCGCATAAGCCCAAATCACACTGTGGACCGCATGCAGCCCACAGTCCACATATTGAGTAGCTCTGCTGTAAAAAGTTATATGCAGACTTTTCTTGTTTGCAGTGTCTTGTGCATGAATGGCAGATCCTGCTGTGGGCTACCACCTCCTCACCATATGGAACTACTACTGTCCATTGGTATCCATTATCTTTGTGTGAGAATCTCCAAAAAATTATTGTTGGAGCGGCGTGTTAAATTAGTAGCTGGGGACTACACTACTATTATTTATAGCTGAAAAAAGGCAAGGCTCTACCAAGATTGTGACATTTTCCCATGTCTTCCAAATTCTCCAGCAGATGACAGGAATTAGTTTTGTCTGCAAATACTAATAGTACCAGGTAGGACTATGAGACTCAGATATACCCTTAATCCCAGCAGTCTATAGTGATGATTACAGGTAGGGTTGCTGTGGTAGCTGTGCATGAGCCAGAGGGCAGTGTGTAGTTATTTTTATCCCCAGCTTGACTGTGGTGCAGGTTCATTTTTAGTTTTTATTTATTTATTGTTTAAACTCCAGACCCTGCTGCTTCTTTATACTTCAGGCAAGCACACCCAGCAAGAATGAAAACAGGCTGCCTTTGGGCACAGATTAGCCCCCTGCATCAGAGAACCTTGTAGTAGGCTGGCCTGTGGCCTGAGTGTGAGTGAGTGTCATATTGATGCAGCACCTGGTAAATGTACGCTTTGTGTTCTCTAGGAAATGTACCTATCGTAGACAACAAGTGTCAGAAACAGGTGTGCTTTCACCAGTGCTGAGCACAGTTGAAATGGAAGTACACAGTATAACAAACTGTTCAGTGCTCTTCCAGAAGCCATGGTTAAAACCTACCTCACTGTCAGCAATGAGTAATCTTCCTAATATATCTGGTGATATACCTACATTCAAGATAGCTAAAAGCTGCTCTTACCCCTTCAGAGAAGGTCTGACATGTCCACTGCGGGCTTGTGAGCACTAAGGAATATTTCTACCGGTTTAGCTGAACTAGTGTTGGCACCAGTAGGTGATCTAGTGTCAACATGGCTTTTGTAATTTGACCTATTTTTATTTACATGGTAGTTATAATATGTACGTGAGGTTACCTCATGCACAGAGCGAGGCAGAAGCTGCGGTAGCACCTTGTCTATGCGGTGGTCTCCCTTGTATTAACCCAAGATGAACTGAACAGGAGATAATACCATGAGAAATCATTTTTCAGATTCCATTGTTAAATTACTCTCCATTTGAGCACAGAAAACCCCCTTTGCAGGAAAGGAGGACCCAGGCAGCATTATTGTTTCTCTTGCTTTTCTCATCGTGGAGTGGGAGTTCCTATTTTCCACAAATGCATTCTTTGTGAGAATACCCCCTCTCCTCTCGCACTCCCTCCCAAAAAACCCCACCAGTTTGTTTGCCAGCTATGCCATTTTATTTAGTTTAAATTAGTTATACATTTGTATTGGTAAGAAACCTATTTTTTTTAGAAAGCAGGGATGTGGGGAGGAGAGTGTTTCTAATAGCACAGGTGACAGTTCACAGCTTTGAATCCTTTTTCACATTACAATACACAGACACAGCCAGGAGAGACTCTCTTCTTCACTGTTGGCTTTCTTTTTAAAATGGCTTTCACAACTCGTTAGTTTATTGCTAGATTGGACTAACCTACTTTAAAAATCCAAATAATGGAATCTCATCCATTGGAATGGGAGATGATTAAAAACCTGTTAAATGAGGTAGTCAATCTCTGTGCCAATGCAATAACATAAAAATGTGTTCTTTTTTACTTACCTTCTGGTTTCTGACCATTTAGGTACAATCAGGTCACTTTCCCAAGCTTTCCCTATAATAACTATGAGGGCTAGAAAGTTAATCTTTTAAAAAAATGAAAGTGGGGAATGTCTCAGGGAGTCGCATGATTCCAGGAACTGAGTCTGAAGAAACATACCAAATGCTATGAGACTCACAATAATGTTGCAAGATTTGACAATGCTTCATTGCTTGTAATGTCTTGCTTTGTTATACACATTCCAAGCAATGGAGTTTCCCACCACTTCCCTGTGGAAATTCTGCCATGGCTTAACAGATCTCCTTGTCATGGGGAGTTTTTTGGTATTCAAACTAAAATTCCCCTTTCTTAATTTCATCCTATAATTCTTAGTTGCCTTCTTTGTACCATCTTAAATAATTCTGCTGCTTTTATCTGCCTGTTGCTGCTCAAGTTACTGGTAAAACTCAGTCTTGTTAGGGAATATTCAGGGACATGGGTGCTCTGACCACCCTCTGGTTTCCTTTGCTGTTCCTTCTGTCCCTTTAAAAATTCTGAGGCCTCATGCCCCTCTGGACTCCTGGGTTTTATTCCCAGCTTTGCCACCCTTGGCAAGCTGATTTCCCCAGCTACATGATGAGCATAGTAATGTTTAGTAGCTGCATCAGGCATGTTTGTGAGGCTAGTTTAATTCTTTGAGGTCAGGTAAAAACACTGTGGAATGACCCCGTTAATATTTTGAGCTGACAACAGAAGGCCAACTAAGAGAAGAACTGGAGAATCTGCCAAGTTACTGTGCACTTGAAATGATGCTTCTGGTGCTGCCTATATCGTTTGTTAACTTGGAACTGGGCTACTAAAAAGCACCTCTGTAGTCTCCCATGTGAGTCTTTAATTTTTACTTGTATATTAAGTGGCAGTTGAAGGTGTTAGATTGAAAGCCCTGAGGAGTTCTGTTAATTCCCAAAGTGTAACAGTTCAGGCAGACGCAAGGCAAACACCCCCACATTGCACCCTGCAAGTGTCCCTCCATAACACAGTTGAGCCACCACTTCTAGGGATGGGAGTGTTAAGTCTCATGGCTTACTCAGCTCTTGCGGGACAGGAAATGTGGAGCATGTAGTTCTGACATAGCATTTTTTTTTAAAAACACTACCCCTTTAAATTTCTAAGAACTCTCCCTCTGTGCAGAGGTCAGCAGCCATTTTGTTCTGTGTTGTGTCAGCCAGCCCAGTGGGCACAGACAAAGTCTTGGCGGGAGAACGCACTTTCTGTGTCTCCTCCTCTATCGGTTGCCGCAGCTCGGAGAACAAAATGGCAGCTGAACTTTGAGGAGAGAGAGGGAGTTCTGAGCTATGCAAAGCCTGAAGAGGTGGCACATTTAAAACAAAAGGCATCGTTGTTTCCCAGCTATCTACACCCTAGCGGGACCTGTTAGTTTGAACTTTTATGGTGCTTTTCTATCACATGGACATTTGCGTACCAGCAATAAAACTGAGAACAACTGCTTCCACATATAGGCCACCATGTAGCTGAGTGAGGATAACTGGGGGTCACTAGTGGCTGGTTCTGTATTTAAATCCATGACCCAGAGAGGAAGGGCACCCCCAGCCTTCTGAGCTGTTGAATTGTCCGAGGATGTTATGTCCAACTGTATTTGTATTATCACCTTGATTTCTGATTCCCTGTGCACTGGACAGATAGTAGTTATATGCTATCTCTTTTGAACAATGAATGAATAGCATACCGCGCATACTTTATAGGCTTCTCATAAGCGTTTAGCTGATGATGATTTAGAATTTCTGAGGCTTTATCAGAAAAACTAGAGGAAAAAAAGAAAACCCCAAACATCAATACCAAGAATATGAAACTAAACCTCTAAAGCTTCCTGGTTGTGAAGCAAAAGAAGGAGCGTGTGTTTCAGCCACACTGCCGGCAGGTGGACTCTGAAAGATCTTATAGACCTCGCACTTCCTGTGGAGGCAGCCAGAAGAACAAAGCCAGTGGAGGTGCCTTTTCTCCTCAACATCCTACTATCTGTTAACTCGCGGCCTCCAGCCCCCCAGTGCAATCCGGGGGGGAGGGGGCAAGATGAAGTGGAAGGGGATTGTTATCTCTGCTGTCCTGCAGGCACAGCTCCCAATTACAGGTAAGGCAGGCTTTTCATTTTACAAGGAACTATTTTAAAACCCTTTTGAGGTGGGGACAGAGCACAATGTTTCTGTTGGCTCCCCGCCCTTCTGGTAGCAGGAGGTCATCTGCGTTTGAACCTCTAGCACGTCTGTCCTCCTAATTATGACTAGTTATGCACTAGTTCAGAACCAACAGCTGCAGGACTTGCTAAAAATGAAGTCTTTGCTATAAAGAAATCCTTTGGAAGGTGGGGAGGGGCGAACAAGACAGCAGCAGCAGCTACCTACCATTGATGAGGCCTGCCTTTGTTGTGTCAGAGCAAAAGACATGACAGCTGAATAACATCTTGCAATTAAATGGGGTTTCTAACCCTCCCTCCAACAGTTCTCTCTTTGGGTTTAAAAAATGAAACGTTGATATGCTGCATGCAACCACCTTCAATATGCTGCCCAAGAGATACCTTTAATTTAGTTGGATAGAGTTAGGGCTGTGTTGATCCTTAGTGGCACGTTCAGTGCATGGTTTCCAATAAACGTCACGCCCTAGCAGCTCGGAAGCTACTGTTGAGGGACTGGGAGAAGGGTAAAAAGGCTGTGATTCAACTCCTACCCTCACTCCCACCATCGTTTTGCACACTTGCTTTCAGCAGATGTAACTAATTAAAAGGAATAAAGTCTTCTTTCCTTTACATGTTTGTTTATTTGGTAGGTGTCTATAAACTGACCCTACTCAGGTAAGCAGTGGACTGGGTGTAGCATGCAAACATCCACAACTTAAGTTTATTTGGGGGAAAGATGGTATACATTTCAATAAGCTGTAAGAGCAAAGAAATCTAGATCAATTTAATTTGCACCTAGAGAAGGAGCGGGAAGAGACCTGAATGTGTGTATGTCAAAAAACATGAAAGATAGCTAGGCCATCTTCAAATGTATATAGAAAAATCTACATGAAGAGTTTCATTCGTATTTTCCCTAACAAATGTACACAACCAATGCACCATAATATAGCACTTTTACATGAAGTCTTTTGGGGACCTTAAATAAACTTTCACATAAACAAGGGTTTTGGTAATTAGGGAAATGATCAAACCATTCACTGATATTGTGCAGCATAATCACATTCCAGTTAACCTGTGTACTGTATATTTCAACAGGGTTTTTTAACTAGATTTGCATTATCCACAGTAAGTACTCATCACAACATTTATATTAATATGTGACAAGTACATGTCAATTTTGGGATATTAATGTGTTTTTACATATGTTGCGCTGTGTGTTCACGCACAAGTATAAGATGTGACCCAAAAGAAGGAAAAGCATTTCTTTTTGTGCTCTTAGAATATTTTCAAATGCACAGAGGCCTAGGATATCTCAACAAAAGGTGATTGTATTTATAGGCACATAAAGATTTAGAAACTACTTATCATCATCATTTGTGTCTCTGATCCTTCTTCTTTCATAAAACATCGGAATTTAGCATGCTTCAGCCTCTTGCTCTTATTTGCCCTTTATCCTCTTTAGCAGAAAGGCCAAACTTAAAAAAATAGAGCAATTTAATCAAATCTCCAAATTACTAAAGTACCAATCTTACTAAGATCTCACTGTTCAAATATCTTGGGGATAACCACTGTCACAGGAAGTGTCTATTTAGCTACAACACAACCTAGGCCAAATTTTGCCCTATGTACAGTTTCTGTTGATTTAAATGGAGATGTTTGTCTATTTGAAGAAAGACTTTTTGGCTGGTGTTTGCAATAATATAAAGACCTTTTTTACATTTCAGATTAAATGTAGAGTAAAAGAATGATAGTACAGTTTCCATGGAATTATTCAAATGATTTATAGATGCATTACCAAAGATGCCAATTCTTCATTATTAATTTAGTCCAAACATGTAGTCAGATCAATTTTGGGGGTAAAAACTTGACCTTTTAAGTCCAGAATCTTCCATTTTTTGGAGTAAATAGGAACCCTCTTCAAACAAAGTATATTTTTTATTTTTCACAGACCATGTTTGCTCTAAGCAGATATTATTAAGTGGAATCACAGATGGCTCTTTACAATGCATTCATACTATGGCACTCAGAATTTTCAGTCAATTTTGTTATATGAGTCTGCTTGTTTTGTAGTTAGTCCAGCAAAAGATGCTGGCAACCATGCACTTTACTTTTGCTCTCACCAGACTGAGCCAAATACTTAAAGTACCAGAAACAATTTTGGAGGAGTAATTCTATCTGAAGCTGTATTACTCTGATTTAGCCATCAGCCCCCCGTCTGTAAATTTGAGGATGTTATGAACTGGGGCTTGACCAAGAAAGCTAGAGGAGCTGCAGGAGAAATTCAGATCCACATTTGAATTATGGAATGCTTCTCCCTTCCAAAGGTCAGCAGGGTTGAATCTGGAGATCTGGTTCAGGCCCTCCTATAAATATTTCAGTAGAAGGCGTTCATAAAAGAAAATAAATGTTTCAAGTCTCTGAGCAGAGTGATTTTGTTTATCATGCGTTCTCTGCAGTTAAGAGAAATTCTGTTAAAAGACATTTCTTCTGTCTGTACAGCAGAACTCTTTAGTTCCCCTCCCAAAAAGGACAAAACAAAAAACAAAAGCCCTGCCACACGCTGCAGCAATGATCCAAACCACTGCAGTTTTCAATAGCAATATGGTAGTGTTTGGGGGAATACTGCCTTTTTTCCCTCTAAGGGTGATCAGTTTAGTACAAGAGACATACGAAAGACGTACAACAGAATCCTAAAAGGGAGTTTCTCTCAAATTTTCCTCAAAAATCACCTACTGAATTGAACCCAGCACTGAATTATTTCTGTTGGCTGTAGGGAAGCTACAATAAATCTGCCATTGAGAAACATCACTCACACTGTTGAGTCAACAGTTAGCTGTCCTATGCAACTTCTTAGGGCTGTGTGTGATTCAGGAGCATTTTGCTAATCACCACATGGGTAACAGGAAGAAATGGGCAGTGTTCTCTTGTAAAGGTTCATTTGTCCATTCCTCCCTCCCTTCCTTCCTTAAAACAATTTATTTAGAAGATTACATTTTTTTAAAATGAAAATTTGTTTACAAATATATCCCGGATACTCAAACAAATAAAAACAGAGTATTTTTAGATTCCACCCTCCATAATGTCTAAACTGTTCACACTGTCTTCTTAGTGCTAACACCAAAATCTACCAGGGACTTAATTTAATAGTATTTCTGCTTCTTTCTATGCACAATGATTCATTAATAATTAAAGATAAATATTCAGAAATGGGACATTTGTGCATCAGACAAAATGCATGTAAATACAGCCCTTCTTTACAACAGGCTATTTATTAAGCTCTCATAGTGCTAAATTTAGTTTCTTTAGAAATCTTTGTATGTTACCCCTAGTAAGCATTCTTCAATTCTTAACGAGAGAGGTAACAGATTAATGATTCACCACAGTGTCTTTAAAATGGAAGGAGACATTTGAAAATATATTTATGCCTTTCCTAGTATACGTCTATCCCTGGTTTACTATTGGACTATGTGGATAATGGATCAAGTTTTGGCTCAAATGATGAAATTGGATACTTTGCTAATAACAGATGCAAATTCATACAACATGCAGTTTAGATCCCTGTTCTTCCTGGAATCCATGAATACAGTTAAATTATGATTTTGAAATATAAAGTATCAAACCAAGTTTTAAATATAAAATTACTCCCCAATAAACAATTAAATTATAATTAACTCCATGTTTACACCAGTAAGAATTTTAAAATCCTTACCATTATGAAGCTATATCCCAGTACTATACAAAGAAAACACCTCACCTGGCCACCACAGAAAACCCTACAGCACACTTGAAAGTTTGTAATGAATCTAGAACTTTAAAATGTGTCTGTGATGGAACAGATGGGAACCTGTTAAATAACATATATGATACATTTGCTTATTTAGGATGATATGGGCAGAAGACGAGCTGTCCTTACCCATACGCAGAATACGGACTTGCATAGAGCATCCGTAAACTTAGGGCACCACGGGGTTCTTAATGTCCATCCATCTGCCTCTTCCTATGCCTGTTCTGTGGCTCTTCTTCCTCTGGAGAGGATCTAGTTAACTTAAAAGTTGTAAAATCTTGACAGACCTAATAGTAGAACATGGAACCCACGAAAAAGTAAGTCAAGTGGTAAAGAAACCATTTATCAATCATTTGTCAATCCCAGATATAATCAATTTCTGTTTTTACTGTATTAGTCTACAGAACTGTAGTTTAAAATTTGTTTTAAAAACGTTTAATAAGTGTGTTGTTGGACATTATAAAATCATGTTTCTAAAAAATCCCCACTCCCCCATCCTGGCTGCCATTGCATGGGGCATCAGTTTAATAATAATGCAAAGTGCCCCATAAATCTTAAAGATGGCCCTGGGCAGAAGACAGCATTTTAAATAAAACTGAGAAAATAGCAGGCCTGTGTGTGTTGAAAAGATTTCAGCGGCGTGTCTTAAAATCTACATTAAAATGTTATTGTTACTCCTTTTATTTTATTGCTCAGGAAATACTGTCTGTGCTTACTGAATCTTGGAGAAGTTGGGTTTTACAAACTTTTGTTGATGTGCATTTATGTATTATCTGACAGTTTTGACTGTAGATCTGTTAACTAAATTTATTTCTATTATTTTTAAAAGTACGTGTAATTTGTATCGTTTAGGAATGAGCTTTAGGATCAATTTTTTCAAAGATGGTGGTAAAAGCTATGCTATGTAAAACCCCTCATTGCCATACACAGGTGACTAGTACACACCAGATAACTGCATGCATGAGGAGAGGTTGAACCTTTCTAGTGTGGCGCTTTCTGGTCCGGCAACACCTGTGATCCAGTATGATTTTAGTTAGCTGGATGTCCACTTATTATGAGTGTGGCCAAGTTTCCCATGTCCCGTAAAATTTGTTTACAGACATCAGTCCTTGCTGTCAGTGTTCTGTGCTGTTATTTAGCTCGGATCTACCCCTAAATGTATTCTAAGAGCCTA